CCATGTAAAATTTGGGGGTAAGACATTTAGGCAAGAAAAAGGCATCTCATTGGGCACCAATTGTGCTATCGTTCAATAATTGTCAAACTTATATGGAGCCCTTCGAATGTTCCTAATATCACGATACCGAAACCGATAAAAAAAAACACAGAAGGAAACAAAATCAAATGCAATGTTTATGTATGCCGGTCAGATTATTACTATTTTCCATGTTGTTTTCTCTTCTATGCTTACCGAGAAGACATAACTGTCGTTATTATTCCCTCTGTATTGTAACCTTGACTACACGTATAAAACCATTGCAGCCAGTGAGTGACCTTGATGTTCTCGACCTTCCGATTAGAAAAAAACTACTCCTCATGTAATAACAGGTTTTCAAGCGCGGAACCTGTAGCCTTCTTTGGCTATATTAATGTTTGTGAAGTAGTTTAAATGTGATATTCTCAGAGAAGTGCGCTTCCACGGCGAGATGAGGAAGAATATATATATATATTAAACTAACGTTTAGTTAACCTGGACCGAAGACATATCATATCAACAGTGCAAAATAAAGGTGAAAGATGTTACACTTTGCTGTTTACAAATTAGACATTTAGAAGTGAATAGTGAGTGAGTGAGTATGGTTTTACGCTGCTTTTAGCAATATTCCAGCAATATCACCCAGGTCTTCGGCGTGACGAGCTAACGCTTTAACCACTAGGCTACCCGACCGCCCCTATAAGTGAATATGAAATACTCCAAGAATACTAATGTGAGTTTGTAAATGAATGGAACCAATCACATTAAAAGTAAAAAGTGTGAATGGAACCTAGAAAGCTGCTTGTCAACGTTTGTAAAATAAATGCTAAACAATAAGCCTGCTTAAATTGAATTCTGCAAAGTATTGGGAAAACAAATCCTTCACAAATCTGCACATTGCCTTTGCTTTGGGATAGTTTCTAACTACCGCTGAAGCGCGAACACCCAACACGTGTAGCATTATGTTACTTCTATATTTAGTCTAAGAAACATTGTACACGTTGTCACAATATGAAGTCTTTGATGGGCATTTGCACCATATGTTTAGGTAACACCAAATACGCACTGAATGTTCAGATCTATGTTGGGCGGTCGGGTAGCCTGGTGGTTAAAGCGTTCGCTCGTCACGCCGAAAACCCGGGTTCGATTCCCGACATGGGTACAATGTGTAAAGCCCATTTCTGGTGTCCCCCGCCGTGATATTGCTGGAATATTGCTAAAAGCGGCGTAAAACCATACTCACTCACTCACTCAGATCTATGTTACGACTGGTTTCACACCGCGGTCTTTGGGTTAGATTTAGTATTCCTTACGCCATTTTATATCGCGAGATATATTTTTGGAGACTATATCTGAAATGTACTCTTATCACAATTTATAAGAACATGTAAGGCGAAAAAATAAAAAGGAAATGTTTCTTGGGGCAAATTTCCCGTGTCATATGAACCATAGATATGTTATAAAAACGCATCATAATTCACAACTGACTTTGCAGTAAGGAGTCGAGTTCAATGTGTGTTTGTTGGTATTTTTGGTGTTACTACTTTTATTTTCAATTAACAATAAACGGGTACGGTAGATATAAAGAACGGGTACTTGTAATATATATATTTTTTCAAATTCATGGTGATGACAGTGAACAGGTGGAGACATCATTTCAGAAGGAGGCAATTCCTGATTCTTGTCTGTTTTGTATTTATCATAATCGATTCTTTGATGTCACATAGGCCTGAGTAAGTCGATGATAAGTGGTTTGGCATTAAATGTGCGATCGGTGTGAGAAAAGAGGTGTTGTTTGATGTATAATTGGTTCATTACATTCTCCAGTAAAGTTTTCAATGAATCAATGCGTTGTGTATAACACATAAACGTACATTTATTGATCGTCTTATGGACATGACTGTAAGAATACTAATGTGGCATTATATAAAGACATTAAATGAATTCTCTTAGCGTAGGCACGCAGTACGATTCGGTGATTTTACATGTCTGTCGCGTGTGCCGGCTGATATTTCTCAGGATTTCTATTTTCTCGCAGTGTGATCCAATTTCGCGATCAAATGATTGTGCATAAAGCAGCGAATTAACTGCTGAGGCCGTTCATTTCGGATGGTCAGCCGTATACTCTTGGCTTATTTGCCTCCCAATTCCGTCACCGACATACATTGTTACCATAGTTAGCACGGAAAACAGGTCTTAGGAAAATATCCAAAGCTGATTACGTTGGTGATCTCACGTGAGCTTTCATTTGACCCAGTAATTGCATGTTACTGCACAAGAATGAAGCGTTTCTTTTAATCGTTCAGAAAACTTGAATGATGAGATGTTGCCGAGGTTCGTTGTACCTTGTAGTTGCGGCGCACCATATGGCTTTCCACTTCAACTTGTTCTATGTACCTTTGCTCTTTGTGCCATTACTTAACTCCAGTAGACACATATTTTCTTGTGGAATCTACCAAGTTGATTCGTAAAGACGTTTAAGTTCTTTGCCAAATACACATAGATCGGCACACTAGAGTACTACATGGTCATTAGACCCGTCAAGATCCGGGATAGAATAGGCCTTCAGCAATCCATACCTACCATACAAGGCGTCTATGCTTTAGGCGACAAACGGGATCGGGTATTCAGGATCGCTGAGTTGGTTGATGAATGTTATCGTATCCCAATTGCGTGGATCGATGCTCATGATGTCAGTCACCTGATTGTCTGGTCCAGACTCGGATTATTTAAGGACCGTCATCATATAGCTGGAATATGGCTGAGTGCGGCGTTAAACAACATATGTTTATGTGTCATATGTTTCCGTATTTTTCCAGATGAACTTGCCTCTGTGTGTGTTCGTCAGGTTCCACCGGTGGGGCAGTATACGCTCGCCTTTTCGCGAACACCTGGTATCATCACCATTTGATAGTAATTCATATACTCATGATACAGTCGGAATCGTACTATCGATTCTGCTTGATGCAGAGATTTCTATTGGATATTAAAAGGGTTTTTTCGCTTCTTTTGTTGTATCAGATAGTGCAGACCACAAAGCGCACCTGTACATATGTTTTAAGCATTTGATTTTACTGCGACGTTGTGCCCATAAGTCGTATAGCATTGCCTTTCAATGCACATTGTTTCTTGCTATTGAAGACACTCGCAACGTCTATTGTAGACATGAGTTTAAGTGTGGGAGCTAGTATATCTGCAAGAGAGAGAGAGAGAAAGAGAGAGAGGCATATAGAAAACATCTAGCTCCTCTGATTAAACAGTGCATTATCACAAACATAGAATTGTACAAAGGACCCACACCCTAAAGCATCTCTTTCAATCGCTTCTACCTCGTCACGAACGGTTGACTGAAATAAAGATGGCGGTACCAACCCAAACACACAACAAACAATCGAAATAAATGTATGAGAGTTTGTGTTATATTTTCTGCCTGTGGTCCAGCAAAAATCGTTTATGATCAGTTGAACAACGATCACAATATATTCATCCTTTAACCGCTTCACGAGAATGAGTGATTACAATGTTTATTTAACGTGATAACCATGACAGGAGATTCGCTTAGTGAAGCTTGACGTTCATGTCAGAGCAGTCTTCCGTTTAACCTTGTCATCAAAGGTGATAAGACGCACGTTTTTGATCACGACGTATGATCGGAAATGATCTCAACTGTCGATACCATTTTGTCCTCACAGTGGTATATTTCCTTTTTTAACAACAATGGGCGCTATTTTATGTTGGAGGTTATGATATTTATAGTCGTCGATGTAGACAGTCTATCTGTCTTTGCCAGAGAAGGGCGTGCCAAGACGTAAAACATCTTCAAGAGGCCAAGATTGCATTTTGCAGAACAAATCAAAACATCAATCACAAATACGAATTGCTCTGTATAACTACAAGGAATTCTATCAAGGACATGTCAGTAGTCTTATGTAAATTGCCTAGACCAGGAATGAATGCCACTATTACCCGGTGGCATAGCAGTGTAATTTTTCAGTAGTTGGCTAGGTTCCAGCAGTGCGTTCAAATGCACACTTTTCAATTTATTAGAAAATTTCATGTACAGTAAACTACGGTCATAACGAACACGCTTATAACGAACTGACGGATATATACTTTTTGGTCCCGACTACTTGCTGTAGTCATGCTGTATATGTACATATAACGAACTACGGTTATAACGAACTAAAATTAGTAGTCCCTTTGAGTTCGTTATAACCGAAGTTTACTGTACTAGTATTTGAATGACTCTGGAGTGAGATTCTAAAATATTACTTTATTTTTGTGTGTGAAATTATATATGTTTTTAAAGTAAGGCAAGTATAACGTTACCGATGAAAAAAATCATATTGATGTTTTCTTTTATATTTTATAAATAGAATGTTCTTTTGTCCGCTTTGGTTTTTTTTAGGTTAGTGATTATTTGAAGTCACTGTAGCTTAATATCTCACCTGACCCGAGAGCTTAGACGAGCAATTTGAATTGAAGTTGGTGTGAATAGATACTGCTCACGGAATTTCAATATGCTCTATACAATGATCGGGGTCGCAAAGACAGACATATAGGAATAAGGTTTATATCAATGTGTATACTGTCAGGAAACGGATCTTTGTACATTGTGTCTTTAACAAAATCATCATGCATATTATTATGATGTTTTATTTGTTTCTTATGTATTCACTCGACAGTGTACTGGTAGTGTTCGACGTCTTCTTTATTATTCCAACAACGGTGTCATGGTGTGTCATGACAAGGATTTCTGAATTAATTGTTCAGTTACCACTAATGTTGCATAACGTTGCTGGTGAGCTTCAGAGACGGGCCACTTTATTTTACACTAAACAAAGAATGACTTGACTTAATGATTGCGTACATAATCCTGTGTAGGTTGAATATTCAGTATGGGTTTTGTTACAATGTAGTTTTTCAATCCGTACATTTTAATTATATTTACACTTTGATTTAAACATTTTCATTTTCTACAGACACTTAAGCAACACAAGGATTGGATTCATTCCGGCACGAGCATTTGAAAGATACAAGAAAATCCGAGAACTGTAAGTACTGCATATAAGGTTTTGAATGCCCAAGTTAGATGTATTTCCATGGGTTCGTTTTTTATATGCATTGGAAATTTTGCTCCTATTTCATTTCCAAAGAGCGAAAACTAACATCTTATCATAATACTAGTTAAACAATCATATCACATTTAGATCATCATATCTTTTCAGATCATATCACATTGATATATATGCCATTATGGCAAAGCTTTTGGAAATACGAAATTGGGTTCCGTTTGGATACTTTTACATGTGAGGTCACGTGGCTATATCCACATATGTCGTTAGTGGCAACGATAGACACTCAAACCTAATATGTTCTATGAAACAAAAATCCCGCATTTTTTTAATATATAAAGTACTTCGTTCACAATATTCTTTACCAGATATTTTTGTTAGTCATCCGATCTTTTATCATCCGACGGTTCCAATGAAAATTTTGGCATCAAATACTCAATAACATCTACAGATCTGCAAACACATGTTATCTCCTACATATAATCGGACGCGTGAAGATCCGGGCTAGAATAGGTTTTCAGCAACCCATGCTTGCCGTAAATGGCGACTATGCTTGTCGTAAGAGGAGACTAACGGGATCGGGTGGTCAGGCTCGCTGACTTGGTTGATGCATGTCATCGTAGCTCATTTGCTCATGGCATCAATCACTGGATTGTCTTGTCCAGACTCGATTATTTACAGACCACCGTCATACAGCTGCGGCGTTAAACAGCAAACAAACAAAAACATATAATCCATATTGCAGAAACATTGCTAAAAGCAACGTTAATTTAAGCGATAAAACCCTTTCCATACTCAATAGAAATTTGCTTAAAGCAGAGTCGATTGTACGATTCCGACTACATCTCGAGCATGTGTTTATGAATCACTGTCAAAGCGAAAAGGTGAGCGTATCCAGCCCCATCGGTGGCATCCGTCACAAACACATGCAAAGGCTGGTCAGTTGTTCACCTGAATAAAACACGGGAAAATATGATAATTCTTTCCATAATCATAACAAATCTCTGCAAAGAGTCTATTGTATGATTCCGACTAGATCTGAAGCGTGTGTTTATGAATTATTATCAAATCATTCCCATATTTCACACTCATATATAATAATTATGGGAATAATAACCCGACTTGGGTAAAGAATCTATGATGTAGAGTTGAACGTTATATAGTAATCAATATCATAATCACACCTACTTTGGTGGATTTCAGACACTTTCAGGTGACTATTTGTGATTCCGTTGAGCAGATAAGAGTGTGTTACAGACTAACGATCAGAAACGAATCACAAGAGGCGGAATATGGTTCTTTCATTACTCTTAGTTATAACCAGCATATCAAAGACATCTAACAGACACATGGGAAGCAAACATCCATTGTCGCCTCTTTGAAGCCATATATGAACATCATTTACACTTATCCGAGTTGTCACGTTCTTGAACATGGATACCATTGTTATATATGGATTATATGTTCAGATAAATGATATCATATACATGGACGATTTCACCAGTCATGAACTTAAACATAATGACACACGTTGCTGGTATCCTTGCCACTTCTTTAAACCCTGGTTTAATAGCGAAATTTGAGAAAACGGCTTTGTTTTCACTTTTGAGATTGGTATGTAATAATGTCAACGTGTCAAACGCAAATGAGAAGATAATATGAAAGCACTTTAATAAGCATACGTATAGCATTAGTGGGAATTATTGAAACATTTAACGTATACTGAACCACAAAAGTAACGTGAACCATGGATAGATATATTTGAAACCTTATTTGTCTAAACACTGTAAACATACTTTGAGACATATTTAAGATATGAAACTTGGCAAAACTGGTAATCAAGGTTGAAATTAAAGTGTCAAATGTTCTTCAAGTGAAACACAACATTAGTCTCTGAGAAAATGGAATCACAAGTCAGTATCTCGTGTGTCCGCCATGTGCATTGATGACTGCCGTGCAACGTCGATACATGAAATGGATGAGACTGTTGATGAAGGCCATAGGCACTTGAGCCCCCACTCCGAGGAACGCCTGACGCAGTTGAGCTGCAGTTGTCGGCCTTGGTCGGACGTCATTCTTTGAATCTCGTCCAACAGATGCTCAATGGGATTTGAATCTGGACTGAGGGCAGGCAACTGCATGGTTCTGCTGCCATTCTGCTGGAGGAAGTCTCTTGTTGCTCTCGCAGTATGGGCACGGGCGTTATTATGCTAAAACTCGTGGTTGCGGCGACGTGCCAAATGAGGTATGGCGTGTGGTCTCAAGACTTGAGCAATGTACCGAGCTGCTGTGACTCAATTGCCTCTCCCTGGACCGATGTTCTGGAAGACCACAGGGCCGACCCTCTGTGCAAGAACAAATCCACCCCACAGCATGATGCTCGGACCACCCCAAGAGTGTCTCTCAACAACACAAGCATCCGAATAACGTTCCCCACGGCGTCGCCAGACTCTCGGTCTGACATCTGCTGTTGAGATACAGTAACGGCTCTCGTCTGAAAAGAGGACTCTTCTCCACTGCTGGTGGCGCCAATGGTGGTGCTGTGGTGCCCCACAGTCCGACGGTCCCGGCGATGACGTGGTGTCAGAATAGTGTGGCCTGTGACAGTGGAGGTGTCTGCTCGTCAGTCGTCGACGCACGGTGTCCGCACTAATGTGTCGCCGCAGCAGTAACAAAGCGATCCTGAAGATGCTGTCGCACAATCTGACGATCCTGATGTCGGGTGTTGACCCTTGGTCTTCCACTACGTGGACGGTCATCTTTAGTGTTGGTGGTCTGGTGCCGTTGGTGGAGCCTGTATATGGTCCTTACGTGGACTTGAAATGCACTGGCTACTTGCCGGGTGGTTTGTCCAGCTTACAATCGTCCAAGGGCTTGGTGTCGCTGATTTCTTGTCAATCTTGGCATGTGGTAGCAATTCATTAACGAATGAATGTTATCCTATCTGGGTGGGTTTATATAGGGCAAGAAATGGGGGAACGCATGTGCATTTCAATTTGCACGGAACTCATGGGCATCGGGTTACCATGGCCGTTGCCGTGATGCGTTTGGGCGATCGGTTTTATTGTCATCTGCTTTCCTTTTTTATCAGCAAATTTCATTTTTCCGGGTAAGGTAATGTTAAATTTGAGAAACTTGTGACTGTGAAACTAAATGACAACTTTTCACGCAATGTTACTTGGGGTGACGTTTCTTTTGCGGTTCAGTATATTATTATTGCAATGGACTGAATTATCTGAAGGCCAATGTTAGACTATGTGTAGTCAAGATGTACCTGCTTAATCTTATTGTGTGTTTTAATCCCTTCATTTATGACTAGAAATATGTCTCGATTATTATAAAAACGCCATTCCTTTGTTCACTTCACAAGCGATTTGCAAATTTGCCGATTTCCCTTATCGTCTTTAGATTTATTTTCTAGTGCCATGCACTTAAGAAACATCATTTAATGTTCATTCTGGATTCTATCACAACGGACTTTCACGGTAATCGTATCGGGATTTATCTTAAAAGCACCATTTGTAGGTTCGTGTGGGAATATTGACATTGCTGTGATTGTATGAGATGCGTTCTTTAGGGTGTAAGAGTATTTCGAATCTTTGATCAGTTTATCAAAATAACTTTTAATCCTGAAAGAAAACGCCTTTCAGATTTAATCTGAAACAACCCATTAACAATTAAGTTTCACATTCAGCAAAAGGACACGCGTATAGTGAGTCTGATGGCCTTAGAATCTATTGTAGCGGATATAGTGACAGATAACGCGGTTGGCAAAGTGCATTGTGCAATCTGTCGCCAGTGTTGAAGTACTCAGAAGCTGTGCATCCCGATTTACCTAAGCAATGTTTTGTGAAAATTTCTGTCAAAAATATATTTGTCTCCTAAGTATTTGTTTTAGATGGCAGGATACAAAAAATCGTTGCAGTCGACCATTCATCAATTCTTATCAGTCCTGAAGATATCCGTTTTTTCATCTGTCTATATTTTCGATAATATTTACAAAATAAAGCTATTTCTTCATTCAAATATAACTTAGAAACTGACCTTATATTATTGCAACGCCGCACTCAGCAAAATTTGACGGCGATCTGTAAAAAAATCGAGTCTTGACCGGACAATCCAGTGATTGATCATGACATACATGAGCATCGAGCAACGCAATTGGGGCACGATGGCCTCGTATGACAAGCATATGTTGCTGGAGACGTACTGTCTTACCCAAAATCATCGCCGAAGTGTCTTCAATTACCATCTTGTGTCTTCAATTACCATATTGATCAATGTTTCATGACAGTACCGACAATTATTTTATAACCTTGGGCTGGCGAGGTATAAGCAGAAGGGGATGATCATACATATGCTTTAAGGCACAACGTCAACTACGCTAATAAGTTTGAACACCAAAACAGTCTTTGAACATTGGTCCGTTGTTCGTGCATAGCCATTGCAAACCTCAAAAGTGGGGATCATTAATTGTTTTCTTGTGCCTTATTATTTATGTAAAATCAATACTCATCAATACCGACAAAATTCTTTCGGCGTTTCGACCTTCTACTAAAATAAATGTTTCTTAAGGATAAAATTGAATGAATCTTTTCCAGCATCTTTGTTAATTTTGTCTGGCGCATATATTTCGTAATAGGTTGCGGCTGCGCCATTATTGCCTGAATATGTGCTGACCACCGTAAACTTACTAATATACGACATTTGTTTCACACATTTTTAGCAGAGGACAACGAATCCTATAAACACATGCATACATATACATGTGTATGTGTGGAGATTTATGGAGATAAAACATACAATCGCATTCTGTCATATTCAACACTGCACTGTGGTTGTTTCATAGTGTGTGGGGTTGGGGGTGGGGGGTTGGGGGGTTGGTATTTGGTGGAGACCAGAAATGGGCTTCACACTTTGCACCCGGGTCTTCGGCGTGATGAGCGACCGATTAAAACATTAAAACACTAGGCTCACAC